AAATTAATAAAAAAATTAAATAATTGAATTAATAAAAATATATTTTATAAAATGAACGAATACGAATTAATTTTAAAAATTTAATACATAAAATTTAATTTCTAAGAAATTAAGCCATGGAATTAATTTAAGAATTAACTTAAGAAATTAATTAAAGGAGGAAAAAAAGTTAAATTCTAGAATCGATTTAAAATTGTGGAATTCATGATTTTTTTTAATTGCATAAATATTGCATAAACATTGCATTAAAGAAAACAAACCAATTATAATTGTCTTTATTGGACAATTTACCTACATTTTTTCGCTTTTTAATAAAATTTTTTTTATTATTTAAATCGTACAACAGGCATTCTCGAAACAGTAATCATAATTTTTCCAAAAAAACGTATTTTTATATCCATTTACTATAGATTAAATCTTAAGACACTCTTAAAAAGGAGAATCGAACTTAGAAGCTACTACACTCCAATTAAAGTATTTACATTTTTATTAGATTCTTTTTTTTCTTAAAAAAAAGGAAATTATTTTCTCTTGATGGAAGAAGAAAGTAATTCTGTACTCTAAAAATATTAATTAAATTATTCATTATTTAAAATTTTTTTCTCTTCTTCCGATTGAAGTAAATCCATAATTTTATCAGATTAAAGATGATTTATTACATTAATGAACACTGATGGAGGAAAGAAACTGTGTAACTTTTGTAAATTTTACAGGTTTTTTTTCTTTTTTGAATATATTTAAATTATAAAATTTTAATATTAATTAATTACATATATATATTTTTTTCAATTTTATAATTTTCGAATGATTTTTTTCAAATTTAAGTTAAAATTTGTCTAAATATATTAACTTCGAATATATTTATAAAAGTGATTCTAAATAAAGATCATGTTGAAAATCTCAATAACATATTTTAAAGATGATCTTAATTAGAATTATTTTCACAAATATGTATTAAATAAGTAATTAAAAGAAGCGAAAAATTGCTTTACAAATTTTTAAAATCCGTCCATAGATAAAACCCACATTTTGTATAACCTAAATTATAAAAAAAAATCCTCTGACTTTCGAGGACAAGTCCATAAAAATGAAAAAAATAAAAAAAATAAAAAAAAGGAAATGATCCACACCCTATCTCGGTGGACAGGAGACTGATTGGCAACTTTCTGATTGGCTGAGCAAAGGTGTGTCCATCTCTTGGGGCACACTTATGTGATTTTAAGATTGTGGAAATAGCCTTGTCCTACTAGAAATAGAAGCTCGACTACTACTATGGCTTGGCATACTTGGATATCCAACTGGTTTACGTCGGCATGCTACCAATAAAATACAAGCAGCTAACATTGCAACTTGAATTCCTGTAACAGTTATCACAATGGCGATGAGAACTGGTTTAGTCATGCATAATGCGTTATCTTTTCTTTTCAAGTGAGTTGCTTCCACTAAAAAGGAAAAAATTAAAATATATTTATATATAAATTACTTAATATTATAACTTAAAATTCAAATATTCCTTAAATTCTACACAATTACTAAATTATTCTAATAAAAAAACAAACTCAAACCCATATTTATAGTCTAGAATTTATGATAAGTTATAGTGATGTTTTCAAATTTATAGTGACGTAAACATTCAAATTATCCAATAATAATAAATTCTGCATTTAAAATTAACCTATAGCAATACATTTTAAATTTAAATTGACTAATAAACAGAAGATTTGTCGTTTTATTTACGAAATGATAATAATAATAAGAAAGCTTTAACTATTTTAGAACATTGATAACATCCAATTTGTTTTATTGTAAATGTTTTAAATTAACCAATAGCAATAAATTTAATATTTAAATTGACCAATAAACAGAAAGGTTTCTCATTTAAATTACGTTAATATGTACGTCACGAAAACCTACCACCATTCGTCTGTAATCTGAAAGATCAACGAAACTGGTTCGAGAATAAGATATGGTTGTTTTAACTTAATTCCAATGAAAGATAAATAGAAAAAAAAAGTATTTTTGAAATGATTTTTTTTTATTTGGATTCAACGCTAGAAAACTTTAGTTGCTAGGCAACTCTTACGTCATTGCAAGCTGTCATTTCTCTCCACTGAGGGGAGGGACCATCGGTACTGGACGGGGAAACATTTGAACGAAAGAGAGAATTTTATTTAAAAGTTCCGAAAGAGAAAAGAATGGAAGAAGGACGATGCGGGCATCCATCACTCTCTGCAGAAATAGAGTAAATCGTTGTGGATGGTTGAGGAATGGAACCAACTGAGTGCTTGAATTTAAAAAAAAAAGAAAGAAACTTTTCTTTCAATCGTAAACAATACCTTTTGTGAAAAGTTCTCCCTTTAAAAAAATCCTGTTATAATATTTAAGTATCTACACCGATAAATAAATTTTAAAAAGTACATTCATAATTTAAATGTTAATGTTTTATTAATNAATTGCTTTACAAATTTTTAAAATCCGTCCATAGATAAAACCCACATTTTGTATAACCTAAATTATAAAAAAAAATCCTCTGACTTTCGAGGACAAGTCCATAAAAATGAAAAAAATAAAAAAAATAAAAAAAAGGAAATGATCCACACCCTATCTCGGTGGACAGGAGACTGATTGGCAACTTTCTGATTGGCTGAGCAAAGGTGTGTCCATCTCTTGGGGCACACTTATGTGATTTTAAGATTGTGGAAATAGCCTTGTCCTACTAGAAATAGAAGCTCGACTACTACTATGGCTTGGCATACTTGGATATCCAACTGGTTTACGTCGGCATGCTACCAATAAAATACAAGCAGCTAACATTGCAACTTGAATTCCTGTAACAGTTATCACAATGGCGATGAGAACTGGTTTAGTCATGCATAATGCGTTATCTTTTCTTTTCAAGTGAGTTGCTTCCACTAAAAAGGAAAAAATTAAAATATATTTATATATAAATTACTTAATATTATAACTTAAAATTCAAATATTCCTTAAATTCTACACAATTACTAAATTATTCTAATAAAAAAACAAACTCAAACCCATATTTATAGTCTAGAATTTATGATAAGTTATAGTGATGTTTTCAAATTTATAGTGACGTAAACATTCAAATTATCCAATAATAATAAATTCTGCATTTAAAATTAACCTATAGCAATACATTTTAAATTTAAATTGACTAATAAACAGAAGATTTGTCGTTTTATTTACGAAATGATAATAATAATAAGAAAGCTTTAACTATTTTAGAACATTGATAACATCCAATTTGTTTTATTGTAAATGTTTTAAATTAACCAATAGCAATAAATTTAATATTTAAATTGACCAATAAACAGAAAGGTTTCTCATTTAAATTACGTTAATATGTACGTCACGAAAACCTACCACCATTCGTCTGTAATCTGAAAGATCAACGAAACTGGTTCGAGAATAAGATATGGTTGTTTTAACTTAATTCCAATGAAAGATAAATAGAAAAAAAAAGTATTTTTGAAATGATTTTTTTTTATTTGGATTCAACGCTAGAAAACTTTAGTTGCTAGGCAACTCTTACGTCATTGCAAGCTGTCATTTCTCTCCACTGAGGGGAGGGACCATCGGTACTGGACGGGGAAACATTTGAACGAAAGAGAGAATTTTATTTAAAAGTTCCGAAAGAGAAAAGAATGGAAGAAGGACGATGCGGGCATCCATCACTCTCTGCAGAAATAGAGTAAATCGTTGTGGATGGTTGAGGAATGGAACCAACTGAGTGCTTGAATTTAAAAAAAAAAGAAAGAAACTTTTCTTTCAATCGTAAACAATACCTTTTGTGAAAAGTTCTCCCTTTAAAAAAATCCTGTTATAATATTTAAGTATCTACACCGATAAATAAATTTTAAAAAGTACATTCATAATTTAAATGTTAATGTTTTATTAATGGAAATGCAATTTATTATTTATTATTTCGAGGATTAAATAATTTTGAAAATATAATAATTACAGTTAATGTATTCGAGGGATTTAGCGTATAAAATTCATTAATTGCCTTTGGGAAATTGTCTATTCTTGTTGCAATATCTCTTTTTTTTTTTCTAATGATATGTTGTTAATTTAATAAATTTTTCTTTTAAACAGCAGATTTAATTTACCGACATTTCTTATCTTTTCGAACACTTCGCATAAATTAATAATAAAATCTTAATTAGAATATAAATTATATATTTTTAAATTTGTTTAAAATTTAAAAGTATTATAATAAATATATAAGACTCGAAGTGAAACGAAAGGAGGAAAAAGTAAAATAAAATTTTTCTCACATGAAATGAAGTGAGACGAGATATAAGAAAAATTTACTAAAATCCTCTTTAACATAGATTCTGTAGTGATTAAAGTCTTATTTACAAAAAGAAAGCTACAGAAAGATAAAAAAGTTTGTAAACTTTAACAATTTAAAATTTAGAATAATAAATCATTAAAAGGATTTTTTTTTATTCAGAATTTTTGCTAAAACAGGAATTGAAAAGTATCTGCTACAGAATTCAGAAATAGAAACGTATCAAGTACAAAATTCGCTCCCGAAACAGGAATGATAAATGAAAGAAGAGATGGAAGGATATCGGAATACTGTCAAGCGAAAGTATTCGAATGCAAACTGAAGCACAATATTCACAAAAGAAATCTTTTATAGAGAAACCAGTCACACTCCGATAAACAGTAAAATCTTTGGTAATATACAAGTTGTTATATACATATATAATACTGGAAAAAAAAGAAAGAAAAGAAAGAAAAGATGAGAAATAAGAGGTCTGTACAAAATAGCAGTTCTCGCAGACAAATAATGATAAATGAGAGATAGACTCAAAGTCGAATTCGTTTCAATATGTTTCCATTTATTGCAAAAATTCGTTCGATAAATAAGAATTTTCTGGATAAAAATTTAAATATATACATTTTAAGTCATCCATTCTAAAAATATTTTTTCAAAATATACAAAAAAATTATTTTATTTCATATATTTTTCTTTTTTTAAATAAAAATTTCAAGACAGTGAAAAATTCTTAATGCGGGATTGAAAAAAGGAATATATAAATGAATAAAATATTATATTGAAATATTTTAAATTATTAAAAATATTTGTAATTATTTTTTAGAAGGTTTGTACTTTTTTATTTAAAAAAACAGAAAATTTGTTGGTATTGTTATACATTTATAGACTCGGAGACTACGTATTGATTAAATATGAATTGCAACCTTCTTTTAACCTACCAGACGCACTCTGGGCCATTTTCCCACGATCATTCGCTGTCTGACTGGATTTCAGGTTATTTACCACAAACATATCGCTCTCTGTCGTTATGTCAATAATTACGTCACCAGACTGTAGCTCTAATGATCTGGTATCAGCTACTGAAGAGGAAGAACGTCTTCTTCTGCCATAAGATTGAGAAATCGCATTATCGGCTTCTTCTCTTTCGCAATCCACCTACAAACATTAAATATAATTTGTTTAAATAATAATAGCTTTGTTTTTCTATACATTAATTTAACGGTTGAACACTTTTCTTTGTAGGCATTCAATGATTAGATCAGATAAAAGAATATTTTCACAATTTTAAACTGAAGATATTATATATGTCTATATTTTTTGAGTTTTTAGAAAGAAGATAATTCTTTTTTAGTTGAATTTATATAATTATTTAAAGGATTATATTCAGAATATGTACTTATTAGTGTGAAGAAATGCTATGAGAAAGGTTTTAAATGTTCATTTAAAAAATATGCATTTTTAAGAAGGAAAATCTCAAAAATTTAATTAATGACTGGTTATGTTTATACTTTAAGTGATTTGTAAATATATTTAAATTTCTCTCATTATTATTTTCCAAAATTTGTAGAGTGATTTAGAAAATGACCAACGAATCATTAAAATCTAATATTAATGATTTATTAGTTTTTCTCTAAATCGCCCATTTAATTATGTTTATGTTGAATTTTAAGAGGACCAAATTTAACACTTAGAAAGTTGAACTTTTGTTTCGTTATAAAGCTATTCTATCAAAAGGTCAAGGTATAATAGCTCCCTTCAGAAAGCTAAAGTGAAGACATTATAGAAGGTCTCTTTAGTTTGTTAGGGGGAAGATATAACTCTCTTTAGTTGTAGGTTGAGTGCATAATGGCCTTCGAGTCGAGGACACAAGCTTAATGGTCTGTACGCTAGAGTGAAGACATTATGAGGTAAGTGGGGACTAAGTTTAAGACCAGGACATACGATCGTATAAAAAGCAATTTATTGCTTTTTTAAGAGGGAGAAGAGAATTAGAAAATTATAATTATTAAAGATATTAATTAATGCATTTTATATGTAAAAAACAATAACTCTCTTTTAAAACAATATTCTTTTGTAAAATATGTCTTTTAATATCAGGAAAACTCTTAACGGAACTAACATCTCTCTTGTCTAATTTAGTTAATTTAAAGCTAAAGTCGCCACTAATTTGTGGATATCTTGCTAATTGGAAGAAGCAAGGAGTTTCAATTCCAGTCAGAAGAGATAAAAGAAGGGACACGTTTAAGACGTTTCCAAATTATAAATCTTCGTTAACGCTACCCTAAACTGTCAGACGTCAAAAGGGGATGTAACAAAGCCCTTCCTGTAACAAAGCCCAGATTTCTCCTAACCTATCTGATAAAAATAATTGATTTTTACAAAGAATAATCAAGTAAAATAAACAAACAAAAAAAAGTTTAACCCGTTGTTTAAATGGCTTGATATTAAAATTATGAACAAAATAATATTTATAAAAGTTTTATATTATTCAAGGATGATTTTTTTAAATTTAAAAATTATTCCGAAATTATATTAAAATCAACAGATGGCAGCACTAGTTTAGATTCATTATCATTAAAATAAAATTTGTAATTACTTGTGTAAAACAATATTTCCAAAAATTGCTTTAACATAATTAATTTTACTATTCAAATATTTTTAATATCTATATTAATTATTATTAAAATTACATTTGAAAATCGTATAGCCCGCAGTTATAAACATCATTATAACTATTTGTATACTTACATTTGTATACTTACTTATTTATATTTTATTTAAATATTTATTATTGTATATTAAGATTTCACTAGTCTTATAATTTCATGAAATATGAAACTTTTGAATTAATATAAAATTTCAATAGTTATAATTTTAAATTATAATTTATTCAATTATAATATTTAACTTGCATCCGAATTATTAGAAAAATAGAAAATTCTACGCTAATTATGAATAATAAAATCTATGAAATTGAATAAATAGATAGATACGCCTACTTTGTCTCTTTCTATTTTCTTAACCAATCATTTTCAAAAATAATAATATACGTAATCAATCTCCATTAAAATAGAATAGGTATTTTATCTTTATTATTAAGCAAATGACTGCCTATATTCTTAAAAGTTTGTAAATTGTTTCTCTTCTATCAATATTTTAAAATTATTATTTATATTTTCATAACAGTTTATTTCAGATATAGCCTATACATTTCGTAAGATAAAAGTCTACTTTAGATATTTTATTATCAATATTCAATTGTTGATAATCATTCGTAATTGCTTTGATTTCCGTACCACAATTCAGAATTAAAGTTTAAAATTTCTTCCATAATTGATATCTTTCACAAATTATAATTTTTTATTATTTCTTGAAATTTTCAATATATTGATGTATATAATAATGAAATATCAAAATATTACATAAAACAAATATTCTACACAATAATATAAACATTTTCCTATAAAAATAAATGTGCTATTATCCAAAGCTCAATGAATTGTCATAATCTTGAAAGATGAAATTGTTCCTCATAACAAAGATTTCGCTGTACTGTACTGTACATATTGTTGATAACAATATTGAGAAAGGCTTACCTTTAACACAAACAGCAGTTGATATGACAACTTGTGAATGAATGATTTATCTGTAAAGATAAGAACCCCCGCCGTTCCAACAATCATTTGAATAGCGAGTCGATAGAGTAAGAGAAGTGTTTCTACCAAATCCAAACAATTCGATCCCAAGAGTCAGCATTAACTTAGGAATTTTAACAACACCGTTTACAGAATCTTTCTTTAACAGATCTTCCCTTCAAATTTTACAAGATGCGGATGCAGCAGAACATTTTAGATGAAAGGAGCGGTCTTTTATGAGGATTTCATCATTCAACTAGAAGATGACACACTTGACACGCACCTCGCCTTCAGTGTTAAATCAAGTTTCATTGATGCGGAAACGTAAATAAGAAAAATATACTTGTGAGGAATGGAAAACTTTTCATTGTATTTGAAAAATTAATATAATTTGATTTATTATCTTCTGTAAAAATATAAAAATATTACTGGCTTCATTGTCTATCAGAATGAGTATTGCTCGTTTTAATTCAAATGTGAATTATTTAAGAATAAGCAGATATTTGAAAATCAATATCTAACTGTCAAATTTCTAATCAATATGGGATTAAGAAATGCCATATCAAGATTAAGAAATAACTAAGGATCCAGACTAATAAGTGCCAGAATACAATTTCTATAAGTAACGAATGTAATAACTACTGTTTTATGTTAAATGAATTATAAATTAGGTCTAAATATATTGGGAAATAGTAGAGAAAACGAAATTAAATAATTTACATGCATATAAATCGTTCTCTGCGATATATTTAAATTATTAAACACAATTAACGATAATTAATTGAGCCATTAAAATTGTGAAGTAGGCGCATCTGCATATTTTATTTCTTTCAAAAACGTGTATCTGCAAACGATTTCAGTTAAAATATTTATGCTTACTATCTTGAATATACCACAGAAGACGACCTATATTTACAAATACCAAACAAACAACCGAATTCTTTATCGAGTAATAAGGCTAACTAATTACTAAACAATTTGGCAGGAGGCAAGCCTCCAGGCTACCATCTCTTGTTAAATATAATAATAAATTAATTAATTTTAATAAATATTTATTGAAACTTCAACAGTTTCTACTTGCATATATGCTTGTGTAACGTTAATATACACAGTTAATATTAAACGATTTTATATAATTGAAAATAAATAAATAAAATTGTAGAGTTAGTAGAATATCCTTTAGTATTCAAAGATCAAGTTACGATTTTGTTTCCTTATAATAAATTTTAACAACTTTTGCATCCCGAAAAATTTAGATGCAAAAAAACGTGTTATAAATATAGATATTCCGCATACTGTATTCAGAAAGATCGATACCTTTTTATAAGAAAGGTTTCTGTTTTGAATTATAGTCATTTCTTCGAAGTAAAAATGCTATTCGCCATTTAAATATGGACTAGAAAAAATCATAATCATAAGATGCAATTCTGAATTTTTTTCTAAAATTATATGGCAAGGCAATTCACGAATTCATTTTTCTGCAGACTGAAAATTACACAATTATAACAAAGAAGGGGGGAAAATGGTTGATAGTTTCATAAATTTTAAAAGTTTTTTTTACTATTATTATTCTAATTAATAACATTTTTAATTATGATTATAAATTTAAATTCTTTTACATTGTTAACTTGGAGTCAAACTTTAAAAATGTTATTTTTAAACCAAACTAAAACTAATGGTTTGTGCCAACACGAGATCAAAGATTTATGTTATTCAAAACTTCTACCTTTTCTACCAAAGTAATATTTTATCTTTTATTTTTTTCCTATCCTGAAAAACTCGATTTATTACACAGCATTACGTCTATATAAGAAAATAAATTTAATCAAAAGAAAAATAATAATAAAATCAATGACGAATATATTTAATGAATTCTTTAATCTCAGTAATTTTTTATTAATTAATTAATTCATTTATTTATTTAACATCTATAGAATCAATAAAACAATTCTAAAATATGTAATTATTGTTAATTAAGAGGGGAAAAAAAATTGCTAAGTCTTTGCACCATCTTTCCACGACATGTTTTATAGAGGTGCAACTCGTTAATTATTCACTTGCTACAAAGTTCTGACTAATTTCATTTGCTGTTTTGAGTAGTCTTGGAAATTTATAGATATTTTTACAGAAAAATAATAAATATTATATATAAAAACAGTTTCATTTTAAGTCTTTTTTTTTCTAGTTATAGTTGAAAAATTGAAACTCTTCCTCGGCATCAGCTATTTTATTGCTTTCAAACCAGTGATATAGGGAATTACAGAGTATATTTTTGAGTCTTTTAACAAGCTAAAAGGCTGGAAAACGTTATCAAATCTTATTGGAAACACTTTAAATCGTATATTTCTTTCAGGCATCGAAACAATTAATCACAATAAAAATTTAATTAAAATTAAATCTTATTAGGATTTTGTTATTATTTTAATTAAAAAAACATTTCTATTTAAGTAATTAATCAAATTTTACTGATAATTAAATATATAATTATGAAAATAGAAGAAAAAATTCTGTAATTTCTGGAGAAAAAATAGACTTTACTTCCAGAAATTGTTTTATTATTAATTAATTACACTTAAGACAAAGGAAAATTTTAATTTTTCAATTAACGATTTATTGAGAACAAATATAAAAATCAATAAAATAAAAAATAGAATATTATTTCTTTTTTCATTTCATTTTTTTTAAATAATGTAATCGCCTTAGTTTCAGCTTAATTTTTGAAACTAAGTACAAGAAATATTTTTCTTTGAAAGTAAAGAATGGAGAACAGAGAAAAAAATAAATAAAATAAATGAATCTATTTACAAGTTATTTTGCAGTATTTAAATTATTCTCTCTGAAAGAAGCGTGTTTAATTCCTCAAGGAATAAGATTTTGCATGATTATTAATAAGCTTTTTAAATTTTATATTTTTATAATTAATTTTAATTTATTCTCTTTTCTGTATTGTTCCTTAATAAATATTAATTTGAATTTATTTATTTTTTTTTGTATTATGAATTTTTATACTAAGTCGTCTTTATTGGATAACAATAAGAAAATTTCTTTTACTGCGTATCACGAGAAAAAATTGCCTTTATTACGTAATAATAGTAGGAAAAGCCTTTTATTACGTAACAAAAAATAAATCACCTTTATGACGTAATACATAAAAATTCCTTTTGTTAAAAACGAGAGAGAAAGTGCCTTTATTACGTAACAGAAAAAAATGCCTTTTATGACGTAACGTAGTATAAATCGTTTTTATTACGTCACAACGGAGAAAATAAATTACGTAACACGGAAAAAATTATTACATAGTAACTAAATATTTAAAAATTTATTTAATTTTAAAATAGATTCGGAAAACTTACGTAAATAATTCTGTAAAGTACTATTATATTTCAATAATTTTGTAAATTAATTTTAAACATATTGATAGAATTTTTCTCCATAAACTTATTTAAATAAAACTTACGGGAGGACAAACATCCAAGCAGAAAGATACAGTCATTTGGAACTTGATTGTGCTTTCAGAAGCAAATTTAAAAGCTTGAAACGGAGCGGTTAGAGTTTTGCTATCTAAGGATTTTTCTAATGACGGAAACACTGTCGGATCAATAGGACATCTGAAATAAAAAATAATAAAAAAAAATAATTTAATAAATATAGTTATATCTACAGTTTTTTGAGTAGAAAAAATATAAAAAGTTACCCTCTATCATCTAAAAGAAGAACAGTTTCAGCTCCATGACCACTTCGAGCTACAAGTCCACTTCCAAAAATACCAAAAATACCTGAAAGTAATTAATAATATAATTTAAAATAAAGAAAATTGCATTATTTTTAAGGTAGAATAATTCTATATTTTATTCATAGCTCATTTATAATGTATAGCTTTAATACTAGACTAGTTGAAAAATGTGAAGAAATTACTATTATGGTTAAAAATTATCATTTTATGTGGACACAAATATAGACAGATATTGATTAAAGTCATTATTTTACTCGAGATTCTTTATGATAGAGCGGCTAGGGTCAAAGTGTCAAAGTTCAAAATGCAATGACCCTCAAAAGTTAAGAGATACGTGCTATTTTTATTAAGGATGCTGTGTAAGTTCAATTCAGAATTTAAAAAAAAAAAAAAAAAAAAGGTAGACGATTTACTTACTTTCATCTTTCATTTCGACTCTTAAGTAAAGTGGTTCTCCCAATTCTACTCCTCTGACATCATATCCGCTTGAGTTAACAACACGAAGTTGTACAGGAGGTGTTGGAGCGATGCCTGTCACCACTTGCATCAAGTCACCTAAATCTCTAACAAAAAAAAGACAAAAAAAAAGTTTTTTTGGATAAAATTAAATGTACTTATCTAAAGATTATTTAACATGCGGTTCTGGGTTCGAACGACGTTTCAGTTCGCTTAAAGAGACCATTCAAAAAGTAATTAATTGAAGTAGCTTAATGTTAATATGTACTGTACTTTAAAAAAAAATATCCGACATCTCGTTGTGATTTTAAATGTTGTTAATTTGAATTTTTAAGTAGTTAATGATCGAAATGAAAGTTTCCGAAAGAAATTATTGAATTTTTTTTTAGATTAAAAAGTAAAAACAAATTTACTAAAATAATTCTAAGAGTAGAAGAATCGATATAAAAAAAATTCAAGAGTGACATCAAACAATAATGACATCATTAGTGAAGTTATTGTGTTACATCCGTAAGAATGTAGTAAATTGGCTTCATTACTTCTAGATATTTATTTACTTGGTCAGAAATGGAAAAGGATCGGAGAAAAATATATATATATATATATATATAAGTCTATATAAAATAATAAAATAATGGCTAAGAAATAATGAACAAAATTCAATATTAAAATAATTATAAATAATGAAACGATGATTTTTTTTATCATCGTTATATTAAAACTTTCAGAATTTATATTAAAGTCGATAATTTAAAAATACATTTAAATTTTAGATTAATTATTTTTATAATTATAAAGTTAAAAATATATTTGGGAGAGTTGCCCCAGTAAGGTAAGATAGCCAATAGGTTTAATTAATTTAAGGTTGGATTTCACATTCTTATATTGAAGACCTTTTATGCTTAAATATATTTTTATTATTAACTAAAAATATTTTTTTTCGAATTATATATTATAAATAAGGTAATTTTAAGATAAAACGGGGATATTTACAGAACAGACAGGAATAAATTAACCTATAAAATATAAGATAATATACAGAATATAATATAAATTTTAATTTATAAGGCTGCATTTTTTTCATTATGATTTAAAACTAATAATAAGTTTTTGTAATTATTCATGCTTCTATCTTAAGCTAATCATTTTCTCTGTTAACTTTATTTTAAAATTACTGTGATTTTGGGACAGTTGTGTGCTAAAGAAAGACATAAAAATAAAAATTAATAGTAAAATACTTTTTAAAAAGAGTTATACGCCTGAAGGATATTAACAGGATTGCATATCCTATGCAAAATCGTTCATAAATAAACTAAAACAAACGAGGGAAAGATGCCTCATATCTTATCAGGTATCTATCCCTTATTTGTTTGAGTTTATGAAAAAATCTCCCTCATGTCGTTTCATCAGGTTTAAGCTACATTAAATCAAGGATATTAAGATTATACAGTTTATAAAGTTGGTTTAAATTCTATAAACAATTTAGTATTTTTAGAAATGATATTTTACACGAAGAAAGCAATCCAAAGAGATAAATGTGGTGGCGAATTAAACGTTACAGTTCATCCCTTTTACTAGAAAACTGCTTCTCATCTAAACGAATCGTTTTCTTGGCATTCGTCTCTGAAAAGGAATGTCACGACATTTTGTACTTAATAGCGAACAAGTTGGAAAAGAACTGTTACCGCTCCAAGCGATTCGTTCACCGTTACAAACAAAAGAATCTCTCAACTGATCTTCCCTCATTAGGAAAAGAAAAAGTGGAAAGAGAAAGAGAGGCAGTCTCTTTGTCACTAGATGAACACAAAACGAATGACTGGATATCTCGGTTTAGTTCTAAGGATTTTTGATGATTTTTACGTTTTAAAACTCGAAAAAAAATTGTTCTAAACTTAAATTGTTATTGGAGAAAGTTTATTTTCTTACTTTTTTACAATTGTTCCAAAATAAAAGTTAAAAAAAATACGAAAAAATAATCGTGCGTGTTTTTTTACTTTGCGGATAATCAAGGATTATCGTTAGAATTTAAGATTTTTTAAAATAAAATTCTTTCTATTTTTATTCTTGATTAATTTTTTTTTCTTTTGAGTTGTAAAAGAAGTAAGGAAGTGATTTGCTTCGTGATAATGAAAATAAACCATGTGATAAATATATACTATTTTTCTCTCGTTTCTGATTCAGTTCATTAAAATTACTTTAATGAACAAACAATCTGGATAAATTTTTTTACGTATATTTTATTCTCTTCTTTTGTTAATTTTCGGAAGTATCACATGAATAAACACCGAATCAGGTGATTAAACATTATTTTAACTGTCCGATAACCAAGAATTAAATCAGTTCCGTAATAAAATATTAATTGCAAAAAAAAAAAACAAATATATAGGCCTATATATAATTTTAAGTTTATATTCTAGATTTTTATAATTTAAAATAGGTGACTTTATAAACTATTGATCTGTAAATGTTGAAAGATCAAAAGATTTCTGTTTCTATATTTGTTTTATACCATTTTTGGACAGTATCCAAATGGAGAAGTTAACTTGTAAGCAGAATTTTGGCCTATTTTCTAAGTGATTTAAACGATAAAAAAAGAGGGCCAGAAAAATTATTTTTACTAATTTAAAGAGCAATTTAAACACTTTCACTTGTTACAGACATTTAAAATTATTCTATTTTTATCGAAATTCCATAGCATTTTCAATTTATCTTCTTGCTATTGAAAGCATTTAGCTCTAAGAATAACGAAAAGTTGGATGGGTTGGACTTATAACTTCAGGTATTTTTCAAAGGTATGTGATATTTCCATCACGTGGATGAAAGAAGATGATCTAAAGAACGAATATGTCTCAAATGGGATCTTAAGAAAGGAACGTTAAAGGTAAGCATCTCTATTAAATATAGTTCTATACCGGAGGCCACTCATGATTCATTCATGAGATCTTAAAGGAGGATACAGAAACTGAATCCAATCTTGTTCGGGAGGATGTATATAATTACATAATGCCTAATCCGTTGTTCCTCGAAATTATTATTTTAAAAAATAACAACATAACCTTAGAGCATGAACATGAATTTAAAAAAAATAAAACTCTTATTCTTCACTGAAGCGTTTAGATGAGTAAAATAATTACAGCATAGAATAGAGATTAAAACTTGTTGAATTTAATGTATAAATTTTAAATGTTTAACTAAATTCTATGAATATTTTGTATTAAAAATATTAAATTTATATATTTATTTTATTAATTATTGTACATTATAGTTTAATCAACGCGATAGGTTTTATCCTTATAATACGGTCTCTTTAAGTGGAAATTGTCGGTACATTTAACTCCAACCTATTTTTCCGCTCGCCCTTTACTCTTTGATAGCTTTATGATCTTCACTTTCTCCTATATTCCATGTGAATGCAGACGATTAAGATAAATACAGTAAAACCTGTCTATGGCAACCACCCACGGTTCCTTCAAAAAATGGTCTTTTAGACAGGTAGTCCTGTAATAACGTATTTCCGTACGTATTTTGCGCACTTTTTAGTCATTTCTACTAAAAGCAAAACTCGAGCCGAGCAAAAATAAGCGAATTTTTTCAACGATAGGGCTATATTGGTATTGTATTTTATTCTTATCGGATAACTCGATTTACGGGAGTCGTGGTGATTTTATAAGACAGATTTAATACCAATATTTTTAAAGATTAATACAATACTCGCATTTTCTCGATTATAACGCACACTTTCTTTTTTCGGACTTAATTAATTCGATTCGGTTGTTTTCGTTCGCTCCTCTGTTACGTGTATTACGTCATCGATATGCAAGCGCGTCGTATCTCTACATCACTTTAGTTTTGGTATTCGTTAGTTTAATCTTATTTTAACTTTAAAAATACTGTATTTTTTAATATTTAATATTTTCTTAAATACATCAAGAAAAATTATTAATTAACTAGCAGGTGTGCCCGGCGTTGCTCGGGCAAAAGTAACGATAACTAAGATAAAGATTATTACGTTACAGTCAACCGTACAATATTTTATACCCCTAAGAAAAATAGTGTAGGTGTACGGTAAAATAAATTTCGTTTTCTCAGTTAAACTTCGCCACTAATTGCCGTTGTTATAAACCGTTTTCACTTTCTCTGATAATTTTAACACGATCTTCTAACGACAGCACTTCGCATTTCTTTCGTTTTCGGACATTTTCCAACAGACTGAAATGAATTTCCTTTCTTGCTAGTCTAATTTATCAATACCTGCACCTAATTTCAAGGGTGGGAGAAGTGCCCGGGATGGGTTCGAACGAGAGTTTAGAATAATTCATTATATTAGGATAGGAAAACGTTGTTGAGATGGATTCGAACAATAGTTTAGACCAGATGCACTCGCGAAAGTGGTCGCTTATTACAGGTGTTGTATGTTGTTTCGGACCAAAAATCTATGCCCGCGGTCGCGTTACACGAGTGGTCGTTTAATACAGGTAACTAATACGAAGACGCTATGGATAAACTATTCGGTGCCAGAAAGTTTTGTCCGTTTTGACATGTGCCCGTCGAATGCAGGTGGTCGCCTAAGCAGTTTTCACTGTATAGACCACAGCACTATGACGACAATCTTTTTCTGGTACAATATGATACCGGCGATGTCAAAAAGAACACACTATATATAGACCCTACATACTGAGGTTAGGAAATGGCATGATCGTAGAAGGTAAGGTTCTCTCATACAAAAGAAATTATTGTCTATTTCTTGTCTATTTTAAACATGTTTGTCTCTATCGTAATTGTACTTTTCCCCCTGCATTTTAGTCTTAAATTCAATATATTTTCCGCGTTCCGAAAATAATTGTCTACCACAACCTTTATAACCCAAATTACAGATAGAAGTTCAACTCGCAGCTCAACACTAAATTTTGATAGCATAAATTGAAGTCGAGAAAACATTTGAAGTAGTAGACTAAAGTCAACCACTAGAAACAATTGACAAATTCCGTTAAGATATGTCGAAAATGTTTTATTTACTTACGTAACGCAGGTGTGTACTGTATTTACTATTGTATAATATTAATGAAATACCGTACAGTGGAACCACTAAATTTCGAAACAAATTTAT